TGAAACACAGGCAAGCTATTCCAGCTTCCTTATCTAGCTCTTCCACCATTACAGTTTGAAAGTAAAGTTATTCCACATCCCCCAGGTTGCACTTCTTTGCCATGGTGACAGTCACGGTCTCACCCAGGTGAGAAGAGCAGTAGTCGGGGCTGCTGCCAAAGCCCTCATTAATCAGCGACTCAATTATCTCTTCAAAGCCAGACAATCTGCAGAACATATTCAATAAGGTCCCACAAACAGCAATTTATCTCTAATTATCTAATCATCCTTCTCTAAATCTGCCACTTCTTACCAATAATCTTATTACTGTAATTAATTGCAGAGCTCATTAAGTACACAGAGCACAGAAAAAGTGTATACAACAACATCCAAATTCCACCCACATCTTAAACCGGGGAGCAGGATGCCTGGGAAAGATTTTTCTTTCTTCCAGAGAAACCCACAGCAGTATGATCTCTTCGATAATAATAAAAGGGAGGAATAAGAATAGAATGGCAAATCTCTCAGGTCTCCAGAAGGACTACCCAATAGAATCTCCACCCTTAATGAAACCTGTGTCAATAGTTAAAATTAGGGCCGGCCCAACCATAAGGTGATGAGGCGAGTTGCCTCAGGGCGGCAAGCTCCCGTGAGTGGCAGTGCCATTGTGCACATGCTGCTTGCTGCCACCAGGCACTCATCCCTGCCAGGTGCTTGCTGCTGCCTCCACCTCCACAGCCGCACTGCCCCCTGGAGGTTGCCCAGGAAAGCCCCAGCAGTGGTGGGTAGGCCATAGCAACAAGGGTATCTGGTCACAGCTGAGGGGCAGGAGGGGGTGGCAGGGGGCAGCAGGGAGGCAGCAGCAGCAGTGTGTGAAAAATAGTGGGCACAGCCGCCGCGCCATCATTCTTAAAATCCAGCAGTCTGCCCAGAAGGACAGACTAGAAGGAATGGCAGGAGGAGGCTCTGCCTTCATCAGAAAGATACAGCCAAGGGTGGGAGCAAGATGGGGAACGACCCCAAGTATTACAATTGCTAAACAGGAAGAAAAATAGTTACGTGGTCTGCCAAGACTCTCAACAATTTGCAAGTGGCCCAGGTAGGGGGGAGCTCTATATATCCTAGATGTCATGCCTACAGACAAAAAAAAAACCAGAAACCACAAACTGATATAGGAGAAATGAAGTAATTTCTTAAGGCTAAAAACTGGATAACAAACACCAGGTACAAAATGTGCATAACATCTCACATTAATTGCTTCCAGAACAGCCATTGGAGTCACTCTGCGGCTTCCCAACTGCGGTTCCTAAGGGTTAACACATTTATAGCAGCAAAAGCTTGCATTAATGCATTATTTCAACACATTATTCACTAGACTAGAACCACCGCATTATTGACTGTATAGACTCTGCTCAGATCTCCACAAAAGGCCTCACACATTCAGGAAACATTTTAAATTAAGTGCATTTGTAAATGCATGTGCTGAGTTGTCTGGCCAATTACAGGCATTTAATAAACCACTCATAATAAATAAACTGCATGAGCCTGAGAGCCAATTTCAGGATAAAGGCGCAGCAGTAACCCTTGCACAGTAGGGAACATGCCCGCAGTTGAGAGTTTTGTTGCAAATAATCTATAAATTATGTATAGCATTTACCCATCAATGATCCTGCACTGGAAACACATCCACGTTCAGCGCAAGTGCCAAATAGAAAATGAAGAAATAAATCCTGTTTGTCCCTGAAGAACCCATCTCCAGCACTATGCAATTCCACAGCAGTGCTTCCTCTTGAGAAGCCATGGATAATTTGCATAGAATTTGCCAATATTTTTAATCAGCTTTGCTTCTGTGGGCTGGGGGGGGGGGTCAATCTCTTTTGCAGATTTGACTGTGGACTATTAACAGTATAGTCCAGCTTCCTGCAAGCTGCTGCCCTTCAGTCATCAACGGACTACACCTTCCATCAGTCCCAGTCAGCATGGCCAATGATCAGGGGAGTTGTAGTCACACAACATGCTCCAGGTTGTGGAAGTCTGGAACAATTCTATTAATGCCTCCTTGGTAGTCCCACCAAGTTCGGTTGTGCTTACTCCCTGCTAAGTGACTACGTGCTTGCAGCCTAAATCACCTGTTGAGCAAGTGAGGCAGATCCAGGAGTTTAAATGTAGCCACAGTTAACTATTGCAATAAGGAATAACGTTCCATATTTCTTGATGTGCATGGGTTGCAAGATGGTTGTTCACATTATTATTATGGTGTTGTTAGGGCACATTGCCAAAGATGAGAGAGCAACGGTGCTGGACTGTAGGGAGCCCAGACTGACCCAAACTTTAGCCTCCAGCATTGCCAGCAAACACCATGAGCAGTTAGGATGAGGTGCAAGGCAGGAAGAGGCAGCCCAAAGGAAAGCTATGTCAACTGAGTTAAAGCTGGGATGTCTGCCCAAGGGGAGTATAATGGAGCATGGTAAGGAAACAGGCCCAATAGCCGATTGACAGCATTCTAACCTACTGGCTGGCTGCTGTTTCACTGCTACATGCCTTGCAATGCAGCTTTTCCCCACCATAACTTTTGAAAAGCGAGTTGATGCCTTTTTCATAATGGTTTTAACAGGTAGGGGAGGGAAAGTCTGAAGCAAAAATGAACTGTAGTGAAAGTGCACCAACAGCAAATATACGAGAGAGAGAAAACTGTTGAAACCTTGATTTGGGATTGCAGTAACACAACGCCCACTTTGTAATGGGGGTGGGCTTTGAAGATTTGTAATATAGTGTTATGTGAAAGCACAGCAAAAGGATTGCTTCCTGCTGATTACAGAAGAGCAATACTTCTGCAGCGCCGAAAGATTGGAGTGTGGCAGGGACCTTTCCTAGCCTTCTATTGTGCTGTTCAGTTTAATGTGTACCATGAGTGCATTCCAGAAGTTGACAGTTCAAAACTAATCAAAATCCACTGGAAGGGAGCTTGCTTTTAATATTCAAATCACATTAATTAAAATTCCAGGAAACTCTCAACACTACCATGCTATATATGAAGGACACTTAATGCTGACTGGGGGGGGGGGGCAATTTAATAAAGGCATCTTACTATTTCTATTTAACTGAAAGTGAATTTGCGGGAGGGGGAGTTTCAGACAATAAAGCTGTGTCACTGTGCCAGCTTAAGTCCTAAGTGAGTTTCATTATCAATGGCTATTAATTTTTCATTAAATCAGTGAATTATAACAATGAGCATCACATATCCATTTGGTTTAATCAGTCATACTGTGCCCTTCCTGCCCTTTAGCCCCCAGTTCCCCCCAAATACTCCCACTTTTCCTTGCTGCATTAATAAGACTGGAGCGGGGAGCGAAAGGCTGGAGAGCTACAAGTCAGTATCTTGAGTGATGGGTTTTATAATGTTGCACATATTTTGCTCCTCCCACCCCGAGTTCTTTTTGTTATCTAACGGCTGGGATGGCTTATCACACAACATTAAAGCTAGTGTTTGCACTAGAGATGTTTGCCTCTCTGAAGATGTACATTGGGACATCACAGCATGGCCAGGTGCCAACATTACTTATGGCACAATTGCACAGCATTAAACAATTCAAATTCCAATGAAGAAATTGTATGACCAACAATCTCACTGGCAAGAAATTGATTGATGTCCATCAACCACCCCATGGATTTACACAAGTGCCAAACACAGTCTAGGTGTCTTTGCCCATTGTTGCTTGACTCCTAGCACCTGAGAGATCACCTTAGAGCTGCCAATATATTGTGGGTTTCAGTAAGTGTTAACCAGCTGGCAGTACATTATCTTAATTTTCCTGAGTTTTCCTGTGATCAGCTACCTCCAGTCAACCCTGTTAGCATTTGGAAAAAAGGCAATTACCAGACACAGATGAAATGTTATTTACAAAACTTACACTGCTCGTAAATGTTAAGTTCACTTCCCTCACTACGGGTTTCATTCACATTGTTTAATAGCTTTTGTGAAAACTCACTTCCATCGCAGCGTTCCAAAAGTGCAATCTCCTGTAAAAATGAACCATCTGTAAAGTGTGTCGGGCTTTGCTCTTTTATGCCTCTAGATGTTGTATGATGTGGGGGCCAATCTTTAACTGGATTTGTCTGGCAAGATAATCATTTTTCAGGGATAGCTGAAGTAGAATTAATCCTTCCTCTGTGTGGGGGACGATCCAGTGTGTCACCCTACAGTGTACATGACCAAATCCGTGGAAGTAAAAGGAAGAAGCACTTTCATTTATACAATCAGGGATCATCACCTGTATCTATACTTTCCCTGCAAAAGTGTTCAGTGCCCTGCAGCCTCTTTAAACCAATCTTGCTACATCAGATGCACTATTCAATTTCAGGGCAATGCCTCCCAGGATGAATTTATAACATATTTTTACAGGAAACAAAAGTCTGAAACTTTTTACTTGCATTCTCCCATGGCGGCATTTTTTCATTATGTGTGGCCCCAAGCTTGTAAGAACGACATTTTTTGAATCTTCCTTGAGACTGTGGTTAAATATGAAAGATGGTATAAAAATCTCCTTGAAGGCAGTTCACACATGCACGCGTAATACTTGATTACTCACCACTTGATGAATTGCAGCTTCCCGCACAAGCTTGTTTCATGGGAAAACTCTGAGTTCATGGTAACGGTTAGAGGGGGTACAAAAGTTGGGTGTTATTTCCAGCCACAATTCAAAGTACCTTCATAACCCTTCATGGCTTATTAACCAAGTACATCCTGACTATTTCCTGAAGTCACTGACGGGGGCGCTCTCTCACCAAATAAAGCACAGCAGGTGGCAGCTAAGAGAGACCTTCTCACTGATGATGCTCTGTCTGCATGGATAGTTCTCCAAATGGATGCTCATCGCTGCCTGTGTTGTCTCCCCTTCAGCACTGGGCAAAGACTTTTTATTTAGTTTCCTATTACTTTTAAAAACTTTTAATGCTAAGCAGGTTGGTGTTGGTGTGTTTTTTTGCTGTTTACCGGATGTTTCAAAAAAAAAAATCAGCTATCAATTTGTTCTTGTATTTTTATTGTACATAAATCACACAGTAAATTTGAAGGGCAAATTTAAAAATGGATTAAACTTGAGTTGTGAACTGAGATGACTCACACATACATATGTATGTCAACATATCACTCTTTGAACGATGAGCACTCACGTGTGAACCAGGATTGGGTATTCCTTCATGCTATTAAAAAACATCCAACTAAGAAACGGTGACTTTTCTGATGATTGTCTGCTAGGAGAAGAGAATGGGAATTGAGAGTCTAAATCTGCAGGAGCAGTGCCACCCCTGCTAAAACCCACTTGGATGGTTTCTCTTTAGTCTTCAGGTTAAAAGTCCAGACGTAGGTTGGACCCCGTTGGCGGGTTTTGTACACAGGACATGGGTACATGTTGCGGACATCTTGCTTGTCGACAGGGATGGCTTTAATGAAAATAATCGGCATTGATGGAGTCAGGTCCTTTAGTCGGGCATCAGCAATCAACCCTGTCTGTGAAGGATAGCAAAGGAAAATGTGAGCTTATTTGACCAGCCACACCTTTCTTGTACCATTAATGCCAGGCCAACATTTCTCTGTCTCCAACCATTCCTGTAACCTGCTATAACCCATTATCAATGGTTTGCTCCCTAACTTCTCAGAGAAAAGGCTACTGCAGAGAAGACTAGAAGTCCTCTGCTTGGAGCTTAACTGATTGATCCTCCTTGCCACTTGCCCTGCCATGGTTCAAGGGGGTGGGAAGAATGGTCAGGTTATAAAATAAATAGCCATCCTATTACACAGCCCCACTGTGCAGAAAAATGTGGCCGTGAAGTCACTGCAAGCAGATTGCCCATTGGCGTCGTTTTCCCATGCACCCTGTTGGAAAGGAGGGAAGGAGGAAACAGGACTGAAGATGTTGTGCTGCCACTGCTCTCTAGGGTGGGGGAGGAGAAGGTAAGCTCCACTCAAGGAGGTGTCAGTCAACAAGCTGGTCTTGCCTCCTCGGTAGCAGGAGGGTCAATCCCAGGGGACTCTCCTTCCTTAGGGAACACAGAAAAGCTACAAGCACTTTGCACATTATCCTTACATCCTCACATTAGTGCTGCATAGTGATGAGAACTTACTATCAAATGCAATCTTCTGATCAGTTTATTCACCTTGAGGGAGCATTCCAAGAGGCATATACAAATGGTAAGCAAGCCTGATCCTTTTGCAACACAAACAATATGTACACTTTTATATTAAGGTAATTCTGATAATAGATAGCGCCTGCAGAGCTTAAGATTTCCAAAGGAGCAAGTAAACATTAAATAATCCTTGCAACAGCAACACTTCTGGGAGCTGGTGTTGCAACATTTCAACTTGCAGTTACATTTAGTTTTTTTTAAAAAAAATCTTTTTGAGCAGGCACTTGTGTGGATGAAAGAAACAAAGGGAAGAATTCCTCCCATGAAATATGCCCCCATCTATTTTTAGATTGACAAAGTTTTCAATCTCTCTTAGAGCATTCCACAGCATTAATTAATGTTTTTATTTGCATGCTTATCTCCCTGTTGATCAAAAGAAGCTTTGACTTGGATACAACCATTTTCACTGCTTAGGGATATAATTTGGTTTACAGATTGGTGGAGATGTACACCTGCACACACACCTTCTCTCTCTCTCTCTCTCTCTCTCTCTCTCTCTCTCTCTCTCTCTGCTGAGATAATCAGCACCAAAATAATTCTTGGGGAAAACCTGGCACAGCTATGCTTATTCTATTTAAAGCATTTCAATGCTGCCTTTCATCAAAAAAGACTTCCTAAGCAGTCAACAAAAGAGATTATAAAACTGATCATTAAAACTTACACCAAGGCAATAAGGGGAAAAAATCTAAACAGCAATGCAAAGCAGTAAAGCAACAAAGAAGAATAGAAAACTATAAAATTATGATAGGACAGGAATGCAATGCATCTTAAGAAATTATATCTCATATATATCCTGTTCCTTCTCCTAGAAGCTTAGGGAAGTATATGAGGAGTTTCCCCCCATTTTATCCTCACAACAACCTTGGAAGGTGGGTTGAGCTGAGAGACTGTGACTGCCCCAGTGCCACCCAGTGAGTTTTAACAATGGGTGAGGATTTGAACCAGTCAAATGCTGGCTTGTGAAAACACAGGGGTTCATGACCTTAGAAACATCACCAGCTAGGTTTTTGCCAACGGATGGCCTTTTCTGTGCACTGATCATAAAATATGTGTGGAAAGAAGCCCTCAAAAATGTAAGTGCAATGTACTTTGAAAGAACCCTGCAGTGACAATGCACATTGGAAGCGGGCACAAGTGTGTGTTTAAGAACAGAACTGCACATTACACACACACCTGTCCTAACATGGCCACACTTGGTAGAGAAAGGCAGCTTTGGGGTGGGATTAGGAATGGGAAATAAGTAAGTGGGAGAGGCAGAGATGTGCATAATCCCTCCCATACTTGTCACTGTTCGGATCATAATTGTAGAAAACCATGTCCAACTCCCCTCTGGGATTATCTTTGCAAACACCACTTCTGCCTCCTGAGGTGGGATTTTCCCTATAAGAAACAGCCATCTGGATTACATGTATAATATGTAGTTCCACCATATGCTATGGATGTGGCTTCTGAGAGTGTTGCATTCACTTGTTGAGCACATCTCTTCCTTTGGTGGGCTGGTGGTGAGGGGGCATCAGATAAATGTTATCTTTAGAAGAACTCTGAGGATTAGCTTGACTCAACCTGCCTACTCCCATTCCTGTCTGCTTCTTAAAACCACAGCACACATCACATGCCAGCAAGCCTATGCCTGTGATTGTATGTTTACTTAGCTTACGAGAGCACACAATACGTACTTTTGCAAACCCATGTTTGTTGCACACATACATTGAACACAGGCTTTAGGCAGGCAGGTTTCTAGTGTATGTAGCAAGACTGTTTAGGCTCTTCAACCCTTTGACTCAAGTAGCATTCGTGTGTATTATTTATGCCTTTGGCAAAGCTGGAAGTGGCCTTAAGCACAAGGAAGATCTCTCCCATTAAAATACCATTGCTACAACCCTCACTGTCCGGTAGGATGGCCATCTACACATTGCTAAAAAAGAGAGGAAATGCATCACCAAAAAAAGAGATGTGCATATGATAATTTATATGTAGAGTTCTTAAATTTAGAAATTATAATAAGAATTTAAATAGAAACACTGGGTGGCATTCAACATCTCGCTATTACAAACATTCTGCCTGTGCAAGCATATCAGCTTGCCAGATGGAACGATTCCTACTCCCTTCCCTCTGCATACTGTTTTATGGGTTCTGCCAACTGCCCCTACCAAAGCAGGGGGCACAGAAGAGGAGCAAAAGCCCTTGTTGTGCTAATGGGATTCTTTAGATGAATCCTGCCCACTATTGGGGTGGGGGGATTTGACAAGTGGACCTGTGTGCTTGCTTGCTCTGTGAGCCACATACTAGCTGGTGATAGGCAACTTTAAAAGCACAGCTCTCCCTCCTCTAAACTGGGCTTGGACAGGACAGCCTTCAAAGTACAGGACTGTCCTCTGTAAAGTAGCGCACATGGCCACCCTGGTGTCTGGGGCTTTCCCTGAATTGCTTTCCTCAGAAATCTTGCTCTCTGAGAAACCAGCAGAACGTAAAGTGAAAAGGGGGGAGAGTCCCAAATGAAGCTGTCAAAGACACACACTGAATCCTTCCCAGCTGTCCCCTCCCATAGCCTGGGAATGAGGCAGGTATGGGGAACCTGCGACTCTCCAGATGCTGCTGGCTTCCGCTCCCAGCATCCCTGGCCAAGCTGGGAGGGGCTGATGGGAGTTGCAGTGCAGCAACATCTGGAGGGCCACAGAGTTCCCCACTCCTGGAATGCAACCTTTTCTTCCGTAAGGGGCTAAATTTTCCATACATATAATTTATCTGCCTTTGGTGAAATGAATACTAGCAGGGAATTCAGGACCTTGTAAAACCTGTCTGGTTTTCTTTTGTTAAGTGGGAGGCTGATATAGATTGGTTCATAAATGTAAGCCACCCACATAATAATATGAATGCATACATAAATAAATATAGGAGATTCATCTCTGAACAGGGCAGATGGAGAACGGCTGCCTTTAGCTGCAGCCATCACCTTACAGGGAAATTTCTTTTCTAAATTGGAATAGCTCCCTAAAGCGATTACCCTGAACTTCAGAGCTTCATGATTCTTACCAAAGGATTAATTTCTAGTGAATATGCAGCCCAGAAAGAGTGAATGCGCACAGCAGAGTTAATAATTCTTTACACTGTCACCTGCATTTGTCCCCACAAGAATACGCACATAGCTAACAGAGCTATTGAATGCAGAATCAATGGGTCCATTTCAACACAGAAATGTCCCTGCCTGCCTTCCCCAACCTCCTCCCTCCTCCAACCTCCATTTAAAAAGACATGTTCGGGCACAGAGACAGAATATCATTATTACTGCTTAGTGTTTTGCAGCAGAGAAAGGAATACTTCTAGAAAATGCATTAAGAAATAGCTATTGAAACTCTTATTTGAAATTCCAGTTAAGCCCCCATATCATGCTGCCATAACTGCTGCGCTGATGACCCCAAGTTAGCCATTCTGTGATTGCTGGGTGGGGGGAAGGGGTTGTATAGATATGAGAAAGTGATTTTTTATTTTCTGATCTGCTTGATTACATTTGATTAGAATGTTTCACACATTGCAACGCAGGTTTGTTAAGTTTCACTGTTTGCTATGATGAGGTGTTTTTTACTTTTTTGTTAAAAAAAAATGCAGAAATAAAGAATTCTGAAAAGTACTGTGCTGCTGCTGCTGCTGCTGCTGCTGCTGCTGCTGCTGCTGCTGAGCATATTCTATGAGTAACTTGTACAAAATACACCTCAGTATATCCTCTCCAGGTTAGGGTTTCACTTCTGTTGTTTTATTTATTTAGCCTGAGAATCAGCAGTGTACTCAATAGATACCAACTATGCCTTCTTGGAAAAAGTCTATATGTGTGTATGTGTATATGTATGTATGTATGTATGTATGTATGTATGTATGTATGTATTGGGGCAAAACCCACAAAGTTGTTTACAAAGAGAACAAAACAGCAACATTATTGATGAAAACAGTTAAAAACAACTACTTAAAGCATTAAAAAAAATAAAATGAGCAATGAACTAAAAACAGATTTAGCGTACAAAAAAGCAGAGAAATCTGCCAGATTTCTGCCAGATCACCAAGAAAAGGATAAACACCACACACACAGCTAACAACAAGCAAGACAGTCTGAAGAAGCCATCCTGAGGGAGACTGGTCTTTGGCCTGACTTCTCGTATTCTACAAAGTCTATCAGTTTATGGTTACCTCCTGTTCATAATAGAGCAGAACAAAGGATCCACCACCAGGTGGGTTTCTCCTGATGTTTTAACCTTTCAATAGAAAAACAGAGGTAGATGACAGCCACAACCGGTGCAAATCACTCCAGGTCCAGTTTACACACCCACACCCCATATGCTGATGCTTCCTTGAAAGCCCCACAGCTTCCCTGGCCCCTCAGCCTCAGCTCATACCCTGCAAGGGCTCAAGGAGGGTCTGTAAACATACCAGTGATAAGGCTCTGACCTCTGGTGCTTTCAAACAGCTAAGTCTAGGGAATCAAAGAAAGCCATTGATTTGGATGCATAAGTTATGGGACATGAGCCAATAAACCTTTTAGCTCCAAGGCTGACAGCACCAGCTGCTCCTTTTGGCAGGGTCTTTAAAAATAAGACTGTGTGTGCTCTGTGCAGGGGGGAAAAAACAAAAAAGGTGGGTGGGAGAGGAATCCCGATTCTGCACAAGTTGTAGCACAAATCATGCACCACAGAAATGCAAATTCTGATATCAGCAAATCATGCAAACTAATTTTGCTTATTTTGCTTCAAAGTCCCTGGTTTTCAAAGAATTTAGAACAGGCAGGCAAAAATGGGGTGGAGTGGGGGGGATAAAAATAGTGAGAATGTATCAATTGGAGCCAAAGCCATCCTTTGAATTGCATGGTTGTTGGCGTCTTAAAGCACCTCCATTTTTCAGCATGCCATTTTAACCGCCTCCTCCCAATTTAGGTCCCTAGAGCCTTAATACCCAGCTTTCACTGACTTTTGCACAGTTCTGTCTAATCTTATGCTAGCTGTCAAAATCAGAGAACGGTTTCAACATCCATGCCATTTGTTTATTTATACTTATTTACAGTGGTACCTCGGGTTACAGACGCTTCAGGTTACAGACTTCGCTAACCCAGAAATAGTACCTCGGGTTAAGAACTTTGCTTCAGGATGAGAACAGAAATCGCACGGAGGCAGCGGGAGGCCCCATTAGCTAAAGTGGTACCTCAGGTTAAGAACAGTTTCAGGTTAAGAACCGACCTCCAGAACGAATTAAGTTCTTAACCCGAGGTACCACTGTATTCATTACATTTATAATCCCACCTTTTTTACCTAAGGAGCTCAAGATGGCATGTATGTGGTTCTCCCCCTCCTCTTTTAATCCCCACAACAACTCTGTGAGGTAGGTTCAGCTGAGAGGCAGTGACTGGCCCAAGGTCACCCAGTGAACTTCATGGCCAAGCAAGGATTTCAACCCAGGTCTCCTAGGTCCAAGTCCAACCCTCTATCCGCTACATCACGCCGGCTGGTTGACAAAAGGTTCTCCCTCAGCAAACACAAAAATAGGAGCATGAAAATCAAAATCCACCAAAGTTCTGCTCAGCCTGGCAGGCACTAAAGTCCATTCTCAACTAACCAGCCATCCCATCACTTTCCTCCTTCTCCTTCTCCTCCTCCTCCTCCTCCCACTACTAGAAATATTGACCAGCCCCTACTTCAGATTTCAGGCTTCAATAGAAAATATTCCACACATTTTAATTTAAAGTTATTTTTATATGATATCGTACATGATTGTTAAAACGGTCCATTCCCTTAGTGTAGCAACAAAATCCCAATGCTCATATTTACCTGCATATCCCAGCGCGCACCTTCCATAAATAAGCCATGAACATATGCACCTTCCCGTGGGGGGCTGCTGAACTCCTCACGGTTCCTCTTGGTCACATCACACTGCAGGGTCATTTTGTCTAGAGGCCACTCGTTCTTTCTGGCCATGGACTGCATGATGGCCGTCAGGAAAGACTGTGGGTTGAAGAATCCTGCCAACCACACCACAGATGGTAGCAGGAAGTCCCCAGTCCAGGTCTCCAGCTCCTTGATGCGGTTGAGAAGGTCAGCAAACCAGCTGCCTAAACCAGCCATGGAAGGATAAGCCCTCTTGGTCCATGATTCAGGTACTGTGTCTAAGAAGATGGCATTCTGTAAGTTCTCCATATCACTGGTCATGGTTAATTCACCCTTTTAAAAATGTATGAGAGAGGGGGAAAGGCATTGGTCTCAGGCAGAAATGCAGCAAATATGTCAAAGCAACATGTTTATCTGTCCTGATGTCTTGTTTAAAATGGTTTTCAGGAGATCAGAAACTGTCATGTTCAACCTGCAAACAACGTTGGTAGAGACAGGACGACCAGCATTTTTGAAGAGTAAAATCTAAAAACGTATTCATATCTCTCTTATTAAATCTTTTTTTTTTTAAGAAAATAAAAAGGTGTGTTAAACTACTAGAAATGTTTTAACATTATTTCTTCCCTTGCTAATCCTGGTATGTACATATAATTTTAAGGTAAGGTGCACACAAGAAAGAAGGCAGGAAGGAAGGAGAGGGCAGAATGGAAGAAGAACCTGAAGGGAGGGCAGGTGGTAGAGGGTTGGAGACAGGGGACCGTGGCAAAGTGGGGCTCTGAAGGCACTTCAGGGTGCTCAGGAGATAATGTATGCTATAAGGTAAAGAGGAGTGCCGGGCAGGAGGGTGGTCAAGAGACAAAGTAGCTAAATGAGGCAAAAGTGGGGAGTGATTTGAAAAACAGGGACAGACGAAACCAAGGTGTGCCCAATTTCCATCTTACTTTGCACACCTACCTAAGAGTCAAAGGGTGTGATAAACAAATGAATGAACAAACAGTGGAGTTGTGAAGCAGCCCCCATGGGCCCCTACTCTTGTGCAAACTGCTATTGAAACCCTCCTTGCTATCAAAAGGGTGTGAGATGCAGTATGGAAGATGGCAGCCAGCAGCATTCAAGTTCACAGAGCTGAAGAAAAGAGGGCCAAGGAGACAGCAGGGCTGAAGTATAAGCTACACATCAGCCTACGGAGGAAGCGAAGGGAGACAATAGGGCCCTGTGTGTGAGTTCCTAATATTTATATATTGCTTGGCACATCCGCAGGTATCCCAAAATGATTTATAATAATAAAGTACATTAAAATGTATTTAAGTTTACAGAGAGTCACAGGGGAATTCAACTATCATTACAACACTGAGGGTCAAAAAACAAGAGATTAATTTCACATATTGCCCCCTGGAAATCAGCAGCCAAATTACTAGCTGCTAACTTCTTGGAGTTTATATTGTTTCTATTACATGTTACGTTTTATATTCTGAGCTTGTCCATCATTTAGTTCCACTGGCAGTACTTTATCATTTGGTATCTTTTTAACAATAGTGGGTGGTACCCAACTAAGTCATACCTCAGAGTAGACCTATTGAAATTAATGGACTTAAGTACTAACTTATGTATGACCAGCATCTGATATCACCCACTGATGTTACAACTTATTTGCCTACTTTTTGCGGTTTATGCATCCTTGTATACAAAGTTCCCTTTCAGGACGTAAAATTTAGTTACACAGGACACTCATCCCAGACTGGAGGGCTGCAACATATAACTGGGTCACTCGCCCATTTTCACACTCAATGTTACACAACAAAGAGCCTCTACCTTGAGCCCCAGGTCAAGTTCTCGCAGCGACCTCCTGATTTCACTAGTAAGGAGGTTCATACGCTCACATTCCTGGAATGCAACAACAATGTATGGGGTCCTCTCTTCCACCTTGGCCATCAGCTCAGGAATGTTAAACTCATCAGTTAGCTTCTCCAGGATATCATCCAGCAGCGCCTTCACCTGCATACCAAAAGGAGGGTTACTGAAATTTTATTGCAGAAAGTGGTGGCTGGGGCCCATTGGGACAGGTAAGGTGAAAGGCAGGTGGACCAACAGCGGTTGACCCAGAGTCACTGGCAGCCAGAGACAACTAATTCAAATTTTGTCTCCTCCTTCCTCCTTGCTGAGTTCTGTAAGGGCAACACTGAGACTAAGGAAGAAGAAGGTGACGGGCAGTCCTATGCTCTGGACTGATGTACAGTCATACCTCAGGTTAAATGTGCTTCAGATTGAGTGTTTTCAGGTTACGCTCCGTGGCAACCTGGAAGTAACGGAGTGTGTTACTTCTGGGTTTCGCCGCTCATGCATGAGCAGATGCTCAAAATGACATCACACGCATGCACAGTAGTGGCAAATCATGACCCGCGCACGCGCAGACGCTGGTTACACTCTACTCAGGATGCAAACAGGGCTTCGGAACAGATCCCATTCACATCCAGAGGTACCACTGTAATTAAGAAGGCAGGACAGTGGGGGATGGCTCAGGGCAGAAGTTGGTGAGGCAGTGTCCCATTCTCCCTACTGGACCAGCCTCCACTGCTTGCAGAAGTCAGGGAAGATAATCAACTATTCATTGCTGCCTTGTGAAAGTTAACCTGCACCTGCTGAAGATAAAGCTGAGCCGACATGAACCTGGCTCCTCTAAATCAACCCATCCAAATGGGCTATTACATTCTAAATACCTACAAGCATTCAAAGTGGCTCTTTTTACAGAGATGATTTAGAAATGGCCACATATTATGCAGGAGCTCACTCTTCTCCTCTCCTTTTCTTTCTTTCTCTCCCCCCCCCCTTCTTCCCATTTTCCCGTGTGCCTCATTCTGAGGTTGGGCTGGTTCAGTGAGATGGATGAAGCTATAAAAGTAAAAATCAAACAGTGGAGCATACTGTATTGCACCGTTTATGAGCAATTTTATTCATGTATTATTGACAAATGCAGGAGATTATTTTAAATGGAATTTTAAGGTGAACTATCTCAGCACATTGTAAACAAGACAAGAAAAGTCTGTCAGCTCCCAAGGTCTCCCTGCAGCTCAGCTCAACAGCATGGTCACCAGAGTTTGGAACATCATCTCATGAGACGGCGGATATTAATACATTTAAGCCACTAAATCATTTAAAATGTATAGAATGACCTTCGGTCCTTTCTTCAAAGCATTATATTGTATTCCCTTGTCTTCTCTGTCACCTGCCAATCAATCTGATCTATTGGCCACAAACCAGCAATTCTATCAGAAGCTTTACTCCTGCCAAATTCAGAGGGTGTCCATGTATACCAGAAGGGATAGTAGTTTCCTTTCTGCACCAAAATTAAAAGTAACTTGCTCTGCAGACATTTTCCCTGGTAGATTTCCATCCACAACTGGAGGAGGGTTAAGATTCCTGGGCAGTAAAAGAGGAGAACTTAACATCAGAAAGATCTTGGTCAGCAGGTAAGTTGGCACACTCCAAGGATTCCCTTTGCTATAAGCTGGCGAATGGAATTATCACCAGCATTTAAGCAAAATATGAAGTAACAGTTGGGGTTCTTCCTTCAGCCATAAAAGGCAAAATCATTTAGAGGGAAGCCAAAAGAGCTTCTCTAAGCCTGGGAAAATTTCTTAGGAAGGCTGAGCACACCCCTAACTGTTGCCACATTTTACTTAAAATGAATTTCAAATTTGGAGGCCCTTCTCCTGGTGAAACAGCAGAGAAATTCCAAGGGAAGAAAAAGGTAATTGCAACAAGACCACTGGCATTTATTGTGGAGGGTGGGGCTGCACCTCCCCAAGGGTGAAATTGTTTCCATGGGTTCAGGTCTCTCTGCTCCATGACGATAAGTGTGCATCCTACCTGTAATAACCCATAAAATCACAGGCACAAAAATGAAGCCTGGATTGCAGGGAATCTGCCAGCCAATTCACATTCTTCCTTTTAATATGTCAGCACACTTGATCTTATTTCACTCGGAGTGAGGCATTCGCTTGAGTAGTTAACCAAAAAGCCCAGACCATGTGTCTGGTTCTGGCCGTGGTCCTAGAAAAAGAAGCCACGTGTACAGGAACTTGAAAGCCAAGACGATGATCAGCCTTGGCAGCAACAAATGCAAAAATTAATTAACCCAAGGTTGGGATTAACCATTTTAATCTTAGTCTCTGAGTGTAAAGAGGAGGAAATAATGGGGCTGATCTTCAACTGTCCATGAATTGCAGCCAGAAAAAAAAAAGTTCATAAACCAGCTTTTTAATATTGACCTTCCTGTACCTTTTAGGCACGTACTGGAGTTTTAATGAAGTAAATGTTTCCCTTAAGAGAACATGAGGAAATAGGTATTTTTGTTTTTATTGTTACTAAGAAGTCTTCTACAGATTTAAACTATGTAAAGAAGGCATCAGAGTTTATTGAAAAAAAGAGTAGTCAACTGCACGCTCCAAATCTCCCTTGTTGATCTTAATCTAGGATATTCCAGCTCTTGTATACCCATCATCTATTATTATTATTATTATTATTATTATTATTATTATTATTATTTAAATCCCACCTTTTTCTCCATGGGGCTCAAGGGGGAACAGGTGGTTTTCCCTTTCCTCCTCATTTAATCCCCACAACAACCCTGTACTGTAGGTTCCCCCCCAATAAATTTTATTAAAGTTTGAAAGAAAATATACACAGGTTAATATCAAATATCTAATAAACTAATCTAAATAAAAACTCAAACCAAAAAGGGGGGGGAGGAAGGGAAAAATGAAAGGAAAAAAAGGGGGAATGAAACTAGTAAAAAAAAATGGAAAAAAACTTCTGATTCTTGGTCTGTCTGCTATATATAGAAAAGAACATCCACACCAAAACAACACCCAACAATTCCACTTTCTATAAACCAATATTTTCTTCAGTCCTCAAACCCAGATATCATAAATTCGCTCTCTTTTTCGCACATAAACCCTGTGAGGCTGAAGGTGAGGCTGAAAGGCAGTGACTGGCCCAAGATCACCTTGTGAGCTTCATGGCCAAGTGGGGATGTGAATCCATATCACCCAAAGAGAGTTCTGCAATCTGTATGGCAGCTGCCTGATTTTTCCAAGACATCCTCCTGGGTTGCACACTGCGACTACGAACTAGAAAGGGGAGGCGCCACTGTCTGGATGGTCTCCCTCTTAAATCTCTAGGAGGAAGTCAAATCTAGGCATGTAATGGATTGTATTGGTCCCTCTGTATGAGAACCATGGTGTCTGTCCACCATTATTAATTTTGAATGACAACAGAGGTCATAAGCCATTTATTTCTACAATGCCCACAACACTGTGGATATTGTACTGGAACTGTACAGTTCCAGGACCTCCCTTGGAATCAATAACAGCAGTTCCTACTGCCTAGCAAAAGCTAACTGGGCTGTATGAACTGCCCATAAACTGAACAGGATTCAGGCTGAAACTAAATCAAGCACTGTCTATCTGCTGTTGACTCACCTTCTCTTCCCGGGTGGCCCCTGAACCTTCTCCAAGGCTGGTGTCCCGGGGCTGCAGCTCCAAAACAGTGCGGAAGAGCTTTTCTGAGGTTTGGGTCAAGAATCCAATTTCTGCATTGGGGTGGAGGCCATAAAGGTACGGAGACTCAGCAGGCAACGTACTGTCTATATACTGGGCAGCAAAATCACATCAGGATTATCAGCAGGGTTTCAGGCATCTCACACAATACTACTAACAGGACACATGCCTCTGATTCATTTGTAGTGCTAGTGGGCCATCAGGAAGCCAACATTAGAGCTGCAGGTACGCTGCATTAAAAATCAGACCAGCCTCAGACCAACCAAGTTTTGCAGCTGTTATACCCAAACCTTGCTACAAATTTCCAATAAGAAGCCAATTCTTAACTTGGTTTGGTGTGCCCTTTGGATGCAACAGTTTTAGCTTATAACTAGGAAATGGATGGGACGCGGGTGGCGCTGTGGGTTAAACCAAAGAGCCTAGGACTTGCTGATCAGAAGGTCGGCGGTTCGAATCCCCGCAATGGGGTGAGCTCCCATTGCTCAGTCCCTGCTCCTGCCAACCTAGCAGTTCGAAAGCACATCAAAGTGCAAGTAGATAAATAGGTACCACTCCAGCAGGAAGGTAAACGGCGTTTCCGTGTGCTGCTCTGGTTTGCCAGAAGCGGCTTAATCATGCTGGCCACATGACCCAGAAGCTGTATGCCGGCTCCCGCGGCCAATAAAGCGAGATGAGCGCTGCAACCCCAGAGTCAGTCACGACTGGACCTAATGGTCAGGGCTCCCTTTACCTTTATCTTTAGGAAATGGATAATGAACAGTGGCACTGTTAGCCCTGAACTTTGGGGCAGAAAACAAGAGCCTCAAAATGCACCTGTCATTGCAACAACTTTTGCTTCCTTTTGAAAAAAACAACTTTTTACACAGGGGTGTATTTGAATGTGCTAGAGAACAAACCGACCCTTTCATACCCCCTGTTAAGTGATGGGTGGAAAAGGACTGACTAGGCATTAGGTGTCACAGCTGGAATGGGTTGCTTTTTTCTTTCCTTCATTTTGAGGGGGAGAAAGGAAGAAAAGGGCATCTCTTTCTTCTATTCCAGGGTGGTTGCGGAAGGGTAGGTGGGGAAATGAGCAACCAGGGCAGCACATGGAGAAGAGAAAGCAGGGTGACAGAGCAGTCAGAGGAACTTCTGGTGCACATCTTGCCCTGGGCTACCTCAAGCTTGGGAGCACCACTGTCAACAAGTGCTCACAAGTTCACTTATTTTCTTCTAAAATAAAACAAGACTTGCTCTTCATATCCTGTTGCTAGCACCTCCCCCTCCCTGCCCAACAGAAGCTTAAACAGCCCTTGAAGATCCAGAGGTTTTCTCATAAAACCTTAAGATAAAAAGTGTCCCTGAGCATACTGAAGGAAGCACTATATAAACAAAAGTATTAATAATATAATGAACAGCACTGTCAAAGTGTGTGACGGTGCTATCCTCTACTTGTTCCCTCTGAAATAAGCTCCACTAAGTTCGGCAGGACTGATTCCCAAGTAAGCGTGTACAGGCTTAGGATTGCAGCCTCAGAAATGCTTTCGAGCAAACAGGTGCAGCTTTCCATCAGGTCTGCTGTGGTCGGCAAAATAATAATTTCTATTAATGCATGAACTGAAAGAGTGCAAGGTGCACTGTCACCTTTATCATTAGAGCGGGCTCTTTGGGGGAGATTGTGAACAACTGGCTGAAAAAGAACCACCCACCAGAAATAAATAAATAGATAGATAGATAGATAGATAGATAGATAGATAGTGTTCAGCAGGGATACCTGGTGATAGCTGTTGTAATCCATGTTCCCTGGGAGGGGAAATCCTGGGGCCAGCAAGAATTCTCCCTCCAACATTTCAGGCTTGATGAACTCTTCCAAGTAGGTCTTGCAGAGACGTCTGTCCCAGTCATCTGTGATGTGTCCTCCATACATGATCTCTCCAAAGAGGTATCGCAAATCATCATAGGGAACCTAAACAACAATAGGCACCAGATCAGACCAAAGGCCAACCTAGTCCTGTTTTCCACAGGAAGGCAACTGCTGTTGTTCCCCAGCACCTGGTAATTAAAAGCACCACCCCAGAGGCAGCATGCAACCATTTTGACTAATCACAGGCTACAGGTTGCAGGAGGTGCTGCTTCCTGGAGCGCAGTCACCATGCACCCTTTTAAACCTTAAGTCTCAGGAAATGCTTTCATGTCACTAGTTACATTTTTTCTAACAAATTTAATGTAACACAGCAGTTAAAACCGCTCCATGCTGTACACAAGAGAGTCGCTCAGAGAAGCCCAGACTGCAGAACAGACTGTGTGTATATGTGTATATGTACGGTGAGGGAAAGGGAGAAAGGGTGGGAGGATTGCTACTTAAAACAAGGATTTTCCCGGTTCCCTAGACTGAACACATTTATCTTGGCAGCCAAACACTTCCAAATATTTTCTCAGAAATGCCATGGTGGAGACACACACAGGCCAGAAACAAAAGTTCATTGGAATGGGGATTGTAAAATGAAAGATGTGCCCTTTGCTTGGAGCTACAGTAGTAGATTAGTCCCCAAAACCAAAAAAAAGCCACTGATAAATCTATTAAAGACCCAAGAACAGGTTTCATGATTTAATGTATGAAAGATATGACGCCGCTCACCTTTGAACTAGCCTCCAAGTAATTGTACAGAACGTTGACTGAAATGGTCAAGTCCCCAGTGTTAAAGGGGTATGAACGATTCCAGCCCTGCGGCCCAAACTTGCGTCTTTCAGCTACCACAGCATGAAAGTAGCAGAGGGAAAAAAGGATGCTCTTAAATTCATTCTCACGGGCACACATCTCCAGGGTGTCCTGCAAGGCAAAAGTGGGGGAGGGGGGAGAGAAATAGGTGTTTTTTTGGTAAGCACCACGCTAGGTCCTCAGCAAGGGTCTCATGAACTGCAGATTTACCAAACACAAATACACACTGGAGCATTGGACTTGCGTTATCCAAGTACCCCCCCAAAAAAAATTATGTTAGATTTATTTGTGTGTGAGGTTATAAGAGGGTCAGAGTTGACTTCCTAGACTTACCAGAATTATACCTCTTCATTAATCCATTTTAATGGATTCTATTTTTTTAGGACATAGCCTATTTGTAATCCAATTACGTTTTTCTACTTTGAGAGGGATACGGTATTGGCCTGAATAAAAGCCTCAATTTTTTACCAAATTCTGACCATGAAAAGTTAAAGCGCGGCTTAAATTCGCGACCTTACAAAAACTGGCTTTTATGATATCACTGCTGAAACAGACATATGGTAAAACAGAATGGGTGTAAGTGCCTGTGGAATTTTCAGGGAACGGCTTACATTCAGGCATTGTCTTTTTTTCTCCACCCCACCCCCCAACCCCTGAATTTTAAAGGTGCGGCTTCTATTTGGGTGTGGCTTATATTCGGGCCAATACGGTATTATTATCAGGCCAAGTAAATAACATTTAAATTTTTTCAAAGTGCTTTACATCTGATGAGAACCACAACTAAAAATATCCCAAACATAAATAAATATTTAAGCTTGCTTCCAGAACTTATGTAGAATAAGCAAGCACAATCCCACTTGTCCCATCTTTTCCTGTTGTAAGCATTTCAGATGTGGCAGATCTTAGCCATTTCTGTACTTTGCCTTATAGTGTGCTGCAGTCTGGATGACTGCAGAGAGCATATTCTTTTACTGTTTGCTACATCTGGTCACCACGCTTTCAATGGAATCAATCATCCAACAACAGAAAGGGCTCCTCTGTATTTGACCTTCAGCCCAACAATACTGCCATCTTCAAACTAACCCCATGAATTAAAGAGAAAGAATACGCCCACAGCTTGGAGTTATGGCCAGTGCACCTGGGCTCATTATGACAAATTGCAGGACAATAGAGAGCAGGTGGGCCAGCCGGCATCCATGGCCTCTTGACACATGGGTTTAAATGTGTAACTAAGTGAGAGAAGCAGGAATCGACTTCTTTCCCCAAATTTTCCAAGCTTCAGGATGCAAAAGGGGGGAAAAGGCAGCTCTAAGACAAATGCACCCTGTCCTTACTTGACTGCACATGTCTCTCTAGCTGCAAACCCAAAACAGCAACATGATGCTGATGCAATACCAAACCACAGTCTTTATATAAAATTGATACAATAATAAGCTCTTTGTGAGACTCTGCTCCTTGCATTAGTTCTAACAGCAGCTCATAGCAGCCAAATGAGGTGTGAAGCCACTGCTCCCACGTACAGCAGGATTTGGAGGATAAGATACATTTTGTAAGAATCCAGCCATTTCGAGAACATTAATTACTATCTGATTTGCAGAGACAGGATGGGAATGAGGAAATCTTGAAAGTTCCACCCCCTCCTCTCTCCTGAGCTTGGGATTATGAATGAAAGTAAATGAAAACAAAATAAGCCAGAGTTCCAGCATTGGTCCTCACCCAACTGCTCCTGCCCAGAGATTCCAGCTCTTACCCAGGAGAATACTGCAATGGAATGGCAAGGCCCATCATCAGAGTTCAGCAACACACATCTTTCCACCAAGGGAGTGAAGCCCCAGATCATGCATCCTAGGTAGTGCTGGCTTACACCTATGGGCAAGGGGACCTACTCCCTCCCTTGTCCTCCTTCTCAGGATGGCCAATCAAGGCGTAGCAGCCTTGCACAGAGGGTTCTTGCTGGTCTCCCTGCCAATGGGAAACCATCACAGTAATGGTGTGACGAGCACAAAGTGACCATTTTAAGGGATGCAAGAAAATGCCTACAGGAAAAGCTTTAAGGAGACTGCGAAAGTACACTAGCAATTTCCCCAGTTCACACAGACACCGGCTCCAATTAGCAACGCTCAAGGACACACACAGCAGAACAACACAGCGGTTGAGTCTCAGTGAGTCTCTGTAAAGCCATTCCCAGTCCAGTGCACAACTATGCAGGCCACACTGGGTGCATTGGCTAATTGCTAGGCTGATCTCCTTCCTGGCTGTTGTGGCAGAACACGGAGATTCTCCCTGAAATGGTGGGCCAATACCTGGTTGAAGTTGTCCAGAGCCTTGTGGAGGTTGGCATGCATTCCTGTTGGGGGCTCGTTGGTGATTTTGATGGAGTTCTCAAGGATGCCCTGTGGTATGATGTGGCCTTCAGGTGAAGCCGCAGGCTCTGCACTAATGAAGACACGAAATGCAGGGTGACTGCCTTCACTGTGCTGCTCTAGCTTCTTCTCCAAGGAACTCAGCCACTTGGCCACCAGGTGGATGTTCTAGCAGGAGAAGAGGGGGTTATTACTGCAGCTGGCTTGAACAGACATCACACAGACCGCTTCCAGGAGGTGAAATGTGCTCCATTCCCCCCCCCCCCCGCCTTCACAAGGAAATACCTTGCCTAATAACCCTCAACACTGTAATTCACTTCCACAGACATTAGCTGCACATAAAAGGATGTGGATTTTATACACTTTGAAATGCAAAATAATCAGGACAAATAACTAGCAATTAAGGAAACAGCTCAGTGTGTTTGTTTTCTTAGGGATGATGTTATTCCATTTGTTAGAATAATGTACTGCCTGTGAAGTGACGCTATTTCTTCCAGACAAAACAAAGTTCCTGTATATATAACTGAAATGAAACTGCTTGATAATTTTCAATCAAATAACTCACCCTTGAAATCTGAGCCAGTTCCCAGAAAATCACATTTCACATTGTGCTCAACAACAGTGTAGGTGCCTTTATTTTTTTAAAAAAAAAACTGGTTAATTTCAGGCTAGTTGTGCCTCCCACTGCCAGTTATGGTCACTCTCTTGTTAAAGATTTCATCAAAGGCCATATTGATGAATGAAGACATAAAAGCAAAGAGAAAGGTGGGGGCGTGTAGGAGGATAGGGAACCTGCTGTTGTAAATTATCAAGCTGGCATATCTGCCATTCCGCAGGTACTGTATACTTAAAAGTCTGATTTTTAAAAACAAAAAACAACTGGATAGAGTAGAGAATTAGGATGGAAGGGGTAGAAACTCTAGATGATAGCTGGGAAACAGTCCAATGTACAATGCAGCACATCTATCAGGAGATCCACTTGCTGAATTTCTGGTTCTAATATTTAAAGGCAGTGATTATTGACTGCCTCACTTATGTAAGCTGCTTTGGAAGACTCCATGTTGGAGAGGGAGAACTGGGATCTAAGTTTTTGCATAAAGATAAATAAGAGGTTAATCTGTTGTTTTCAAGTGAATTGTAATGTTGTGCACTTTCTGTGTTTTGATTGTTTTATTCTTGGTACTTTAATATTGTCATTGTATTGCAATATTGTCATTGTATTGCACCAGGGAGACAGAATAAATACAAATAATGCAACTGTGCAGGGATGCATATGTGGCCACACACACACATATCACTTCTCCGCCTCTCCCCCTGCTCAGTATGCATGAATGTGCAACACATGTATCCACAGAGCAAATGAAATAAATAACAACATGATCATGGAAAGCTGGAAAGGAACAGAAAAAGACACCATTCCTGGCTCTTATCTAGCAAAACACTCCAAAATTAGTTAGGGTGATCCCAGATCCTTCCAGAGGTTAGCAACCATATTACTGATTCACCATCTTGGGATTACACTGACACATGGGTAGAGTGTAAAGTAGCGCGCATGCTCTCTCTCTCTCTCTCTCTCTCTCTCTGTCTCTCTGTGTGTGTGCATAATACAACACCAGTTTGTTCCTTGTAGGCCTGGATACCAATTTTTCCTATGCAAACTCCAAATGTTGCTATGCCACCATGGAAGCATCCAATGCTGCACAAATATATTCAGCAGTGGCTCAGTAAAAATGTGGGTGTATGCTGCACACACAAATCAGTGCATATAGGAGCAGAGTTTTACAAAGTACTTCGCCATGTGCGCTGCTTGGATACACAGCCAGTTCACATGACTGAATCCTGGGCATGAACCCAGGATTGGGTGCACTGGATCAATTAAAGACAACTGGAGCAGGAAGAATAGCACAGAAAACATTTATGAAGCAAATGGAAGACTGCTGTGAAATTTGACAGCACTGCAAGGTCTTCTTCACTTCAACTGAAGCTTCAAAACAGCTCCCACGGAGCCCTGAAATGCAGGCACCTTATACTGCTCTCCATGCAGTAACTCAGACAGACATGAGAGATTCAGGTACAAGCAAGATAGTGTAAAAAGACCCCCAATTTCTATGGATAAAATTTGATAGAACAGAACAGGCACTCCCCACAGAGCATGATAAAGATGGATTCTTTAGGAGATTGAACCTTTTGGCTGTTATGTAAATAAGCAGTCTCAGGACTGCACATTTTGCTGTAAGGATATGGCAACAGCTGTTGCTTTTTCTTCCCATTGCATTTAGGTGCTAATTTATTTATTTCTATTCAGTTACCTTGATGAGATGTGGCTGATTAATACTATCTGGATAGCAAGACTACTCTTGCAGCTTGTCGCTGCTCAAAATGCAATACATGCACAGACATCTCAAAACCCCACTACAGCTACTTTTACATTTACACCAGTAATGGCATCAAGCCCATCAATTTGCAGAATTCAACTTCCTGAACTTCCTTGTTCTGATTGGTAGAAGAATAATGGCCTAAACCTGAATGGCTACAAGACCTATGATGCTGCAAAGGACTTTATCAAGCTCTTGCAGTAAAACCACCTAAAATTAAACTGTTCTAGCTGGGTGTCCCTTTTATTTAGATCTTCCGATGATAAAAGTCTCACCAACTTTTGTCTTAGTAACTTGCCCATAAGCCTAGAATCCTGTACACACTTCCCTGGGAGTAAACTCTGCTGAAGATAGTGGGACTTACGGCACTTTGGAGTAAAGCTGCATGGGATCATGTTGTTTCAGCATTCTATTTTCTTTAAGAGAAATGCTTTGTAATATGTAGCCCCTTACTTTCTGTCTTATCCCCCGACACAGTGTTGTGTCAGTAAAGACAAGATAGTGATCCACAAGCACCAAAAGTTATTTTCCTGTCCGTAGCTGATAAACAGAAAGCTGTGTGCAAATGGCCTCTCAAAATTCTCCACTCTATTCGTAGCCAGAGAAACCGGGCAAGAGGACCATATCACTAAACTTCTCCAGCAGGAAGAGTAGTTCTTCCAACAGCTCCTTGGGGTGTAGCGGTGGGCAGGTGTACTTTCCCCCATGAAGGTCCTCCCCAATTGCTCCTGAAAGAGACAGCAGCAGCTGTTGGCAGCCTAGCCAACATTCTGCATCCTTTGCAGTGCCCCAGACCTAGGGTTATCTCAAGGCCCTGCAGCACGGGTGGGGTAGTGTCAACAAAACTGGGGAGGGTATTTAATTCTGCAAAGCTGCCTTCTTTTAATGGATGAGGGGGGATTAAAATCTCAGATATGTTCTCAGAAAAGAGGGTTTTTCAGGCTGAAGGCAGTAGCCTATGCTCCCTCCCTTCATCTTATTTCCGAATGCACAGTGGATTTCCTAATCCATCTAAGGCTTGAAATGTGCTGCATGCAATGGAAAGGTGGGCTTGGTAATGAACCAACCCACAGGAGTTCCTTGCCATTTTTTTATGCAGGGCGCTCCTTCTGGATGCCATGTTTATGTTATGATTCATCAGAAGTACCTTGCGCTTTTTCAGTAAAGGTATTTTCATCACCCGTTCTGGACTTTGGGTTTTGAAAATTGCGACAAAATGTGCATATACACACACCTTTCAAAAATTGAAACTGCCATTTGTGCACAGCGCTACGGGTGTGAGTAGGAGTGTGAGCATATGTGTGCATGCTCCTGTCAGGGAGACAGATTGTATATAGCAATCAAAGGAACGAGGGTGCATATGTAACAGACTGGGAAAGAGTCCAAGGATGGATAACAACACACACACACACACACACACACCAACAATATGTGTAGGTGTTTGAATTTTCCTTTAAAAAAAGAAGAAGACTCCCAAACATCTTTAAGCTTGTACATCTTACAAGGTAAAACATGGATCATAAAGACGTAGGCGTTGCTATGGTAACTCCTGGAAATAGTACCGTACAAACCAGCAATTTAGTTCACCACAGATTCTCTCCCACACCAGTCAGCAGAGGTATACTGTAAAAGTACCAGGAGGTTCTCTTCCCCATTTTACAGACACTTTTCCAGGACCATCTTCCCAAGGTGTGTCACAGAGGTGGAAGAAACCCATTCTGCAAATCGGCAGGGTAACATCAAAGCGTAACTTTTGAGGCCTCCAATATCTGACTGGAAGGCCTTGCTGAAGACGCTGTGCAGTCAGCCGTGGCAGACAGATTGGTTCTTGCTGGCATCTCAGAAAAGTATATTGCAGAGCTGGAAAAGGTGCAGAAAAAGGGCAACCAAAGCAATCGGGGGTCTGAATCAACTCCACTATGAGATAAGGCTACAGCATTTGGGGCTCTTTTTGTAGAGAGAAAAATGCAAGTAAGCAAATAGAGATATTACAAAGGAGTATGAAATTAAGCTTGGTGTGGAGATAATACTGAAAATAACTTCCTTACATTTAAACTATGGAAGTCAATAGAAATGATGGCCACCAGCTTAGATGACTCTAAAAGGGGTTTAGACAAATGTGATTCCCAGCAACTGGTATTTAGCAGCAGTAAATAGGTAAAACATAGGCATCATGGTTGTTATCTATTTATAGGCTTATCCTCAACAAATAGGTCTAAATTCATTTTAAAGCAATCCAAGCTTTTGCTATGTGCTTCTTGAAGTACAGGTAACTCGCATCTTATGTGAAGGTTCATATCTGGGGGTCCACATATAAATGCAAAAATGCATAAAGCTAGGAATCCCCAGAACTGCCCTTCCCTCTGCCACAAAGTGGTAGAGCTGCTTACCTGGCTTTGGGAAGCTGGTGCAAGGACTTTGGCAGGTTCCTACAGCCCTCCTACTGCCTTCTCTTTTTTTTTTTTTTAATAATTTTTATTGGGTTTTCACATTTTATAAAGACAAAAACAAAACACATAACACCAAAACAAACATAAAAAAAAAAACAACAGCAAACATGAATAGTTCCAAAAAGTCTTATTTTCTAACCCTAGTCCTTGACTTCCCCCCACCCCCTCCCTTGCATCCCTGTTCCCAGGTTTATGTCAGCAAGTTAGCATTTCTTCCTTCTTAATATTAGTCCTTTTATAGAAACAAAAAATAAGTTTTCCCTAAGTTGGACCCCAATTCTCTTCCCTCGATTTCTCATTTTTTCTTAAGTAATTTCCTTATTACTAAACCCCTGGTCTTGAG